TTTTGAGACAACTAAATGGCTGCCTCTTTTCTTTTTAAATATTTAAGAAGGCATCCTTTATTCATTATTTGTAATTTGAAATCACCTGGAGTTTTGAGAAGGATGAAATCTAGAGTCTTATATGACACTATCAAGAAGTATATGCAAGTGGGAAAGTTACTAAATTGAATTTGAATAAGAGTCTAAAAAATAAGATTATTAGTTTTTCAGCAGTAGCATAAGAAATCTAGAATGTGAAGTAGTAAGACTGGCTTCTTAAAAAATAATTTAAAAAAAAAAACCAACCTGTGTAATCTTAGGTAAATCAATTTATCTGAACTTTTGTTTCTTAATCTCTAAAATTACAGATTTAGCTCTTTTCAGCTTTGTCAAGGTATAATTGACAAATAAAATCATAAGTACTTTGAGTGTTCAACGTGGTGATTTTGATGTGAGTATACACTGTGAAATATTTACCACAATCAAGTTAATTAACACATCCATCACCTCACATAGTTACTTTGTGTGTGTGTGTGTGTGTGTGTGCATTTAAGAACCAAATTTCAAGTATGCAGTACAGTACTGTTACCTATAGTCACCACTGTAATTGAGTCAGTATGGTATTAGTGAACAAATAGACAAATCAATGTTAACAGAGAAGCCACCAGAAATACACTCAATAAATATAGTCAATTGATCTTTAACCAAGAAACAAACTGAACATCCATATGCAAAATAATGAAACTAGACACAGACATTTTACGTTTCACAAAAATTAACTCAAAATGGATCACAGATCAAAATATAAAATGCAAAACTATAAAACTTCTGGAAGATAAATCAGGAGAAAAATCTAGATATCTTTGATTATGGCAATGACTTTTTAGATATCTCAGGCATGAAGCATGAAAGAAATGACTGATAAGCTGGACTTCATTAAAATGAAAAACTTCTGGTCTTCAAAAGACACTGACAAGATAATGAGAAGACAAGCTACAGACTGGGAGAAAATTCTTGCAGAAGATATCTGATAAAGAACTGTTATTCAAAACATACAAAGAACTCTTAAAACTCAAAAAACCCGGTCAAAAATGGGCAAAAGACCTAAACAGACACTTCACTAAACAACATATGTAGATGGAAAATAGCATATGAAAAAAATACTCCATACAAATATGTCATTAGGGAAATGCAAATTAAAACAATGAGATACCACTACACATCTTTTAGAATTGCCAAAATCACCCAGCTGGTGTCGGAGCACATGCGCAGGTTGCAGGCTCTATCCCCAGTGTGAGATGTGCAAGAGGCAGCCAATCAATGATTCTCTCTCATTATCATCATCACTGATGTTTCTATCTCTTTCTCCCTCTCCCTTCCTCTCTGAGATCAATAAAAATATTTTTTTAGCTGAAACCGGTTTGGCTCAGTGGTAGAGCGTTGGTCTGCGGACTGAGGGGTCCCAGGTTCCATTCCGGTCAAGGGCATGTACATTGGTTGCGGGCACATCCCTGGTAGGGCGTATGCAAGAGGTAGCTGGTCAATGTTTCTCTTTCATTGACGTTTCTAGCTCTCTATCTCTCTCCCTTCCTCTCTGTAAAAAATCAATAAAATATATATTTTTAAAATATTTTTTTAATGTTGAAGATTGCTCAGTGCTCAGTGCAATTCAAATTTCAGACAACCACACAGATTTTTTTTTTTTAGTATAAGAATATTCCATGATATTATTTAACTGAAGTTCAAATTTTACTGGATGTCCTCTGTTTTTATTTTCAAAATATGGCCACCATACTTCCATCTCCTGCCATTCTCCCTCTCATTTCAGTGTGTGTGCTCCAGCCACACAGGTCTTCCTGTCCCTCGAAAGTCCCAAGCTCATTTCCAGCCTTAGAGCCTTTATGCTTGCCTTTTCCTTGCCTGGAGTATTACTAGTCCAGATCTTCACACAGTTGACTTCATTAGATTTCAGCTGAAACGTAACCCTATCTTGACTTCGTTTCCTGTCATTCTCTATCTTCATTACTCATAAAACTTAACACACCTTGAAATTATATTATCGATATTTATTTGTCTACTGGTATTTTTTTCTTTTTCTCCCATAGAAGAATATAATTCAATTCATGGGGATAAGGGCCTTGTTAGTTGCAAGGTTCCCTAGTGCCTGTCACTTAATGAGCACTGAGTAAAATATTTGTTCTCTGCAAGATTTAAAGTTATGAAGACCTGTTGAAGGTAGGCCAGCTGACCTTAACAAAAAACATCAACAACAAACATTTCAAGAAAAGTCAGCGTGGTTTCTAAACAATTACCTTGAAGAAAGGGGCTGGTTTCTGTTGTCGGTGACTGGTGTGGAAGATCCTTGAGACCCAGGATCTCCTTGCACTTTGTGCTCCAGTGAGCAATGACCAAATGAGGGCGTAGGAAAACCTGGTTTAACTCTGGATTGCAATCTTTAGCGGTTAGACTGAGGCTTCGAGGAGGGCTCATTGTGGCAGTGAGACACCGTGGGGCCCTCAGCTCCCCCAACATAGTTATCCCTGCTGGTGTGCAGAAGTCAGGCAGAGTGCCCTCTGACTTGGATCCCCCCAAACCCTGGTGTTTAGAGACTACTCAAGACAAAGGGGAAACTTCAGAGAAGGGGCTACTTTTAATAAAATATAGTAAAATTTTAAAGGGACCCAGGCTGGTTATACTACTTCTAGTTTGAAGCTCTTGGAGGCGGTAGATAGTATGGTGCGGGTCTGGAAGTGTCTGTTGGGGGTGGATAAATGATCAGCAATTAGGTGTTGGTGAAGCATACATTGAGAGAAAATGCTAAAATGGCTGGGGAGAGAAGTAGGAGGGGCCTGGGCTTGGAGACCATATCCAGAAGCTGGGATTCATCAGAAGGGCACCTGGAAGCCCCATGCATTCTCAGCAGCGGAGTGACTCCAGCCTCTTGGTGTGATTTGTACTTGGAGAGATCTCCCCTGCTCTTTGGTGCTAGAGGGAGCATCACTGCAGCTAGGACTAGTGGGAAACCTTTAATCGTCTATTGAAAAATTATGCAAGTCTGAAGAATAATTTTAATCATAGCAGACGAGAATTAAACCACTTACTAAACTCATTGCATACTTAATCTTGTTTGTCCCAAGCAACGCAACCTAGTAGGCACTAGTGCTAACATCTCCAGTTAGTTCAAAAGAGGTGGGAGATGGCTCAGTATCCAGGTCAGTCTCACTAGATCGCCCGCTTCACTCCCTTGGACCAAGACATTGGAAGCAGCGGGGTGGGGAGGGGGTTGGAGGCTGCACATGTGAAAAACGTGTTCGAAGCCAATAGTGGAGGAGGAGGGGCGGGAAGGAAGAAGAGGGAAGGGAAGTAAGAAGGACGAGGATACAAGGGCAATTTCACTCGTTACACATTCGAGAGCTTAACGTGAGCTTTGGCGTCTGGGGTGAGGAGCTAACTGTCTAATAAGACATAGAACTGCAGCCGAAACTGGTTTGGCTCAGTGGCTAGAGCGTCAGCCTTCGGACTCAAAGGTCCCGATTGGATTCCGGACAAGAGCATGTACCTTGGTTGCGGGCACATCCGCATACTGGGGTGGGGTAGGGAGCGTGCAAGAGGCAGCTGATCAATGACTCTCATCGATGTTTCTAACTCTCTCAACCCCTTCCTCTCTGTAAAAAAAAAATCAATAAAATATATTAAAAAAAAAAAAAAAAAGACATGGACCACCCCTCCCCATTCACTGTCAACACCAGACCTGAACGGGCTCCGCAGGGGTCGCCGCTGGGAGCTCAGGCCCCGCCCGCCCCGCCCCGCCCGCCCGGGGCGTCTCCGCGGGCCACGTGATCCGCCGTCGGCACGCTCCCGGCGGCTCGGGGCGCCGGTGCTTCCGGGTTGGCAGCGTTGGAGGCGGTGGCGGCGCCGGAGCTGAGGCCCGGGAGGCGCAGGCCGGGAGGCGCAGCCTGCGGAGCTGGGGACCACGAAGGGCCCGGCGCGGGTGCGCCCGCCAGGCCGCCCCGTTGGCCGGCCGCGACCTACACCTCGCCGGGCGCCCCTAGAGGTAGGTCCAGCCCGGACGCACCGTCCGTGGGTGCGGGACCCGCGGCCGTGCCCACCTCGCCCTCGCTCCTTCGCCGTCCGCTCCCCGGCCCGGCCCGAGGGGCTCGGCCCGGCCGGCCGTGGGGCCCCTCCCGCGCCACAGCCACCCCGGTGCGCCGCCGTCCCGGGCTCCGGAGGGGTCTGCCCGCCTCTGCGCCGAGCGCCGCCTGGCGCCAGCCCCGGGCCCCGCAGCCCCTCCGGAGGGGGACCTGCTCCCTGCGTTATTCTTTCATTGCAAACCCCCGCGCCCCCATTCACTTCGCACAGGCACATTTCCTCCGCCCTCTTCACATTTGTTTCCCAGAACAAAATGGCACATAATATGTGAAATCGAGACACTGTAGTTCTCATCCTGAGATTTGTGCAACTATGGAAAGTGAGTGCTGGGAAGGACTTTTAGGCAGGATTGATCCCAATTCCTTCATCTCCAATTCCTTCATCTTGCAAAGGACAAAACAGACCCCCGGGAGATAACATGTACTTGCCCAGCCAGATAGTGGCACAACAGGAATGAGATCCCAAAGCTAAGTTTTTAAATAGACTTACACAGGGTAAGTAGTAAGTTTCAGCTAACAAAGTGCAGTGAATAGTAGGCTTATTTGGTGTGGGGTTTACCTTGTTAGTGCTTCCTCCTTTTTAAACATTGTTTCCTTTTTTCTTTTTAATATATTTTATTGATTTTTTAGAGAGGAAGGGAAAGGAATTGAGAGCTAGAAACCTCAATGAGAGAGAAACATTCGACCAGCTGCCTCCTGCACACCCGCCACCGGGGATGTGCCCGCAACCAATGTACATGCCCTTGACCGGGATCGAACCTGGGACCCTTCAGTCCGCAGACTTTCGCTCTATCCGCTGAGCCAAACCGGTTTCGGCTAACCACTGTTTTCTTATTATTTCAGGCTTAAAATTCTTCTTGGTTTCCAAACAAAATGGCAGAAACACCATCAGAGCCTCCGGGGCAGCTTGTTGTGCGCTCGGACACCCACAGTGACGCCGTCCTGGCCAGCTTTGAGGACCAGAGGAAGAAGGGCTTCCTCTGTGACATCACTTTAATCGTGGAGAACGTGCATTTCCGGGCACACAAAGCCTTGCTGGCGGCCAGCAGCGAGTACTTCTCCATGATGTTTGCTGAAGAAGGGGAGATCGGCCAGTCCATTTACATGCTGGAGGGCATGGTGGCGGACACGTTTGGTATCCTGCTGGAGTTTATCTACACGGGGTACCTCCAGGCCAGCGAGGGAAGCACAGAACAAATCCTGGCGACTGCGCAGTTCTTAAAAGTCCACGACCTGGTCAAGGCTTACACGGACTTTCAGAGTAGCCACAGCTCCCCAAAGCCAGCGTCGACGCTGAGCACGGCTGGGGGTGCTCCCGTGGTGGTGATTTCCAATAAGAAGAATGACCCGCCACCGCCGCCCAAGCGGAAACGGGGAAGACCAAGGAAAGTCAACAATCTGCAAGAGGGGAAATCGGAACTGGCGGCAGAGGAAGACATACAGCTGAGAGTGAACAACTCGGTTCAGAACAGACAGAACCCTGTGGCGAAAGAGGGAGACAGCGGTGCGCTGAGTGAACAGACCGCGGCGAAAGAGATGGAAGGCTCTGAGCCTGCGTGTGAGCCGGGCAGAGGCGAGGGGACACCCGCCGAGAAAGACGAGAACTGTGACCCTCAGACCCGAGACGGGCAGGGCCACCAGACCCGGTACAGCAAGCGGAGGACTCAGAGGTCCATCAAACTGAAAGATTACAAGCTTGTTGGGGATGAGGAAGACGGGGGCGCAGCCAAGAGGGTGTGTGGGAGGAGAAAGCGCCCCGTCGGCCCCGAGGCCCGCTGCAAAGACTGTGGCAAGGTCTTCAAGTACAATCACTTTTTAGCCATCCACCAGAGGAGCCACACGGGTAATTATACGTCCACGGCTTCTCCGAGTGTGTTTTGGAGTAGGGACGATGATAACAGCTTTCATTTATTGTGTAACTTCTAGGTCACGGGCGTTGTCATAAAGCCTTCACATGTATAGTTGCATTTAATCCTCACAACAGTCCTGTGAGAGAGTTGTATTATCCCCCCATTGTACAGGTGAAGAGACCAAGTCTTAGGAAGCTTAAACAACTTGCCTGGGTTATCCAGGTAGTGACTGAGCAGGGATTTGAACTCTTATTTTTAGTTGTTGCTTCCACGCTATGATATTCAGGTATTGAACTCGAGCCAAGTGTATCTGCTTTCTGACTCTTGAATCTTCCTCGTCTTGACCCTGGCTATGCTTTTGGTCTGTGTGGACAGCTTTCTCACTCAGCCATTTCGCTGTAAATGTCTTCTTTTTTGGCCCCTCTAGCCCAGTTCTGGCCAAGAGACCCTTCTGTAATGATGGGAACATTGTCATCAGATAGAGTGGTGGCCACCAGCCACATGTGGAACATGTGGATTTTGAGCACTTACCATGTGGTGTGACTAAGGAACTAAATTTATAATTTTATTTTAAGTAATTTAAATGGTCATCGTGTTGGACATTGTAGCCCTAGCCAGAAATCCCTTCTTCATTTGAACCCTCTCTTATACATAAACCTAACTCACTCCGCTTTGGATTTGATTGTAGTTACCACTTTAAATACCCGTTAACTTAATTGTAAGCTTATGTACAGGGATGGATGCTTAAGTCTTCTGTCATCCAGCAGCTTGCCGTCATCTGACCCAGTAGGACCCAGTACTGTGGTTCTGAACCTGGCTGCACCTTAGAATCACGTAGGGAACTTCTAAAACTACCAGTGCCTGAACCCTGACCCCAGAGATTCTGATTTAATTGTCTGGAGATTTGGTGTTTTTAAGATCGATGAGAACCCTGAATTCTGGTTCTTGAACAAAGTCGACACTTGAGAAATATTGAACCGTAATACAGCATAGTTTAAAGAGTAAGTAGTTCTACAGGATTTTTTTATGGAAAATAGCACATAGGACTTTCCTTTTGCCCAGTATTAAGAAAGTTTACAGCCAAAACCAGTTTGGCTCAGTGGATAGAGCGTCAGAAACCCCCTAGTCCAAAGACCCCTTCCTAGTCCAGAGACACACACCCCCAGTCCAGAGACCCTTTGCTTTACCCTCTACGGAGAACAGTCTCCATCTTCTCTTGTGGAGAAGGCCAGTCTCCTGGCTCCCTGGAGTAGGAGACTGAATCTGAGGGGTCTAACCACCTTTGAAATAGACTGTCATTTATCCTCCTTACCCCCATTTTCAGAGAGAACAGATGCCTCCAATTCAAGAGTCTTATGGAGGCTCTGTCTTAAAAATCAGGTTGAATTTCAGCATTCCTCACTGCTGCCATCCCATTCCTCAGTTTCAGCTTGCAAAATGGTATTGCTGCTATTGTTTCTCCATTGGCCTTTTGGATATGTTCCTTTTCAGAGAAATCCCTTTCTTGTCATTTTAATTTATGCGTAAACGGAAAGATGTGCAGATTCTTGCTTATACCAGTTTTCTGGGGCTCTTGTTCCAGGGGAGCGACCTTTCAAGTGTAATGAGTGTGGAAAAGGCTTTACCCAGAAGCACTCGCTGCAGGTCCACAGCCGGATTCACACGGGCGAGCGGCCGTACACCTGCACTGTGTGCGGCAAGGCGCTCACCACCAAGCACTCGCTGCTGGAGCACATGAGCCTGCACTCAGGTAGCCGGGCTGGCACAGGAGAGCCCCAGGCTCCCGCTCCCTGGGTGGGCATTACCATGATCTTTCTAACTGCATGGTGTCATTGAACAACAATTATGCTTTTGTTAGCGAGTATTTACAGTTCTGCACAGCATTGAGCCTTAGCTAGGACTTACTGTAAACAGGCTGCAGATGTGTTTTGTTTAACCACCAGAACTTGGAATTATTTTACTTCAGTTGCCTTTGGGGGACACTTGAATTCTCCAATTCTACCCCAGTCTCCACCATTCCCTGTTGCCTCCCATGCCTTTGCACTTGTATGTTAATGTGGCAGACTCTGAAGGCATATTTGGCTTTGTAGACAAGTCACTTGTACCTTTTGTAGAAAATGGGGACCTGGGCCCACTATGGTATTTACCATATTAATGAGCATCCTAATTCGTTATAGTTTTTGTTTTGTTTTTTTTTGCATGTTTTAGTGTTCTGTTTTTTATTGGGCAGGACAGAAGTCTTTTACCTGTGATCAGTGTGGAAAATATTTCAGCCAGAAAAGACAACTGAAGAGCCATTACCGAGTTCATACAGGTACAATCAAGTGAGAGAAAATTTGGATTGGTGGTAGAGGAATGCAAATAAAAGTGATTTCTGAAACATTGGGTTGATATTATAGAAGAGAAATGAGTATTTAGGAAATAGCCTTAAAAGCCATCTAAATTAGATGTTCTTATGTTTATTCTCACTATATTGTGGCTTGTGTTTAATTTTTATTCCATAGTTTTGGTGCCACATAAAGAAACCCTACAAATTGGTATCTTTCCAAAGTTCAGCTTGACTGTGAGGTGCCAGTGGATTAATTGTTAGTGGTGCCTGGAGAGAAATGTCACCACCCTGTAGCTCCTCCAAACTCTCTCCAATCTGGCTCCACCTATTGGCCTTTTTCTTCCTTGAGAAATGAATGGGAGGTTGGGAGTGTCATTTGAGATTAATTGGTTGTACCAATGCTTCATAGAAAAAGGAGATTATACTTAGGGAGATCAGAAGGGTCCCAGCTTTCTTAGGAAGCAGTAAATTGAAATGCAGAGGAAATAATAACTTACCAAATTTATTTAAAAATTATTGTGGTTTTATTAAAGTACCATATTTAAAGTGGTTATCTTTCAGGAAATTGTCATAACACAAATCTCTGAAGAAATGCAGGGAGAGCATATATGCACTAACACTTTTTTCCCCCAAGAGAACAAATCCATTTTATTTATTTACTTCCCAATAAGTTTAAATCTGAGGGGTACAGCCTTACATGGATGCTGTGTCCATTGGCCTTAGCAAAGGTTGCTTTGAAATTTAGCACCAATCATGTCACTGTCTTTGGTTTGCCAGCAGGCGTCACTGTTGGGTTTTGTTTTGCACACATGAGCACATCTCTTGCCCAAAGAGAATTCAGTTTCTTCTGAAGCACAAACACCTTCCGAGTTAAGAAAGAGCTGTGTGTTACCTCTGGCTCTGGAGACCCCACTGATAGCTGGCAAAAATGGCGTTGGCCCACAGCCTTCCAGACGTATCTGTTGTTATAGAAGTCCTGTTCCCAGCAGGCCTCCAGGGCTCCACGATGGCGGAAAGGCGCACTGACACTTTTTTTATTGTTGCGACAAGGCCACTCATTACCGGAATGCAACCACTGCCATCGCAAATTCATGGATGTGTCTCAACTAAAGAAACACCTAAGAACACACACAGGTAAACTACTACCTCATCCTTCCTTTCTAGTGTACTTTGTATTTTCAGGACAGTTAGGAATAAAATACTTGGAGTTCCCTCCCCAGATCGGTTTTTGTAAATGGGGTGGGAATTTTATAATTTATTAGCCCAGCAGAATGCTGTCAGCATTTGTGAGGAAGTAACATTTCTGTAGATTAGCAAAACAGATTACTTACTGAGCACTTTCTAGGGAAATTTATCCAATACCACAAAAGAGTACAAGTCAGTCTGGTTCCGTGTTTCACTTTTAATTTACTTCATCGATCAAGATTACTAAGATACTTTTTTAAGAAAAGGAAGTAAAATGAAATATACCAAGGTAACATAGGCACTGAGGATTTTTTTGTACTTTCTCTCCTAGAATCAGTATTTATAACTTTTTTTATTATTATTAAATTGGGGTAACATTGGTCAACATGAACATATAGGTGTCAGGTGTGGGTTTCTATGTTATAAGATCTGTGTATTGCACCGTGTGCCCACCACCTAAAGTCACATCTTCTCCTGTCACCTTGTATTAGGCCTCCTTCTCAAGTTTTCCCAGCACCATTTATTGACGAGACTATCTTTATTCCATTGTTTGTTTCTAGCTCCTTTGTCAAAAATTATCTGTCCATGTACATGTGGTTTTATAGCTGGGCTGTCTATTACGTTTCATTGATTTCTGTCTGTTTCTCTGCCAATACCATGCTGTTTTGATTATCGTAATTCTGTAGTATAATTTGAAGTCAGATAGTGTGTTACCTCCAGCTTTGTTCTTTTTTCTCAGGGCTGCTTTGGGATCTTTTGTTGTTCCATACAAATCTCACGATTTCTCATTCTACTTCTTTAAAAAATGACATTGGGATTTTGATGGGGATTGCATTAAATCTGTATATTGCTTTGGGTAATATGACCATTCTTTCTTTTGTTAATGTGTATTACTTTTATTGTTTTGCATAAATTGAACCATCCTTGAGACCCTGGAATGAACCTCACTTGATTGTGATGTATTATTTTTTGGATGTACTATTGTATTTAATTTGCCAGTATTTTTAGGATTTTTGCAACTGTATTCATTAGATATTGGTCTGTAGTTTTCTCTTTTTTGCATTATCTTTGCCAGGTTTTCATATTGGGATTATATTGGCCTTCTAGAATGTGTTAGGAAGTATTGCCTCTTCTTCAATTTTTTGCAAGAGTTTGACAGTGACAGGTTCTAAATCTTCTTTGCCCGTTTGGTAGAATTCACTGGTGAAGCCATCTGGTCCAGGATTTTTGTTTTGGGGGGAGAATTTTGATGGTTGTTTCAATGTACTTACTCCTGATTGATCTATTTAGATCTTCCAGTCCTTCAAGATTAAGTCTAGGAAGGTTATATATGTCTTTCCTTGTTTATTTTTTATTGTACGTCACTCCTTTATTATACTGATACGGAAAAAAGGTTTAGTAGTTTCGCTTCAAAATGCTTACTGGCCCCAGGGGCAGGGCCACGCAACTGGAACATGATTCAGAACTTAAGACGCAGTGAAAGACACCCTGGACATGATCAGGAGACAGTTCACAGCCACGAGACAGCAAGCGGGGAGGGATTCTAAAACACACAGCAGGGTCACACCTACTGCTTACACCGTGGTGTGAAGAGAGGTTTGTTTTGTGACGACCACATGTGGGAATAGTTCACCCGCCACTAGAACCCCAGTGGGGTATTTGTTTTATATTATTTTATATAGATACACTTAAAAAAAAAAAAAAAAAAGTAAATGCAACATGTAAATATCCAGTATTGACCCCAATCTTCTAGAGCCAGCTTTTCTGGGGTTAGGGAGGAAATGTCTGTTTGAATCACCATGCATTCCTCTTCCACGGAATGACTACCCCCCACTCGGTCACCTGACTACACAATAGCACAGGACTGCTGGGGAAACACAAATAGGCTCTCTTGCCTCCCTCATTGGTCACGCGGTAGCATGGCCCCTCCCCACCCCCCTGCTCAAGCAGGTCCTTGGTAACAAACAAAGCACTAGCGGAAAACCGAGTTACTACCTCTGGACTCCCTTAGATAAGAGTCTTCCCTCAGCTTAACCTGAGGACCCAGGCCCCAGCGGTGCTGTTCTGACTAGATTGCATGACGGGAGTGAGTGCAAGAGACAAAGTGTGGGTCAAACAAAATTGGGAGCCACCAGCCCCCCTCTGCAGCTACAACCTAGGATGCCAACAGATGTGGTCAGTGTGGCATGTGCACAGGAGAAATGCAGAGGAGATGGGCAGGGAGGGTGTCCTGAGGAAAGTCCTCTGCCTGCTTGTCCTCACTTTCTGGCCTTGCCCTGGGCAGCCACAGCCTCCACGGCTTTACACACGTCTCTTCACTCACAGGAACTGCATGGGCTTGATGGGCTTCAAGTTCTAATCCAACTCACAGACGATGGGAAAGCAGGCTCAGCTCCATGATGGCCTCTTCAAAAAGACCCTCCAGCTGAAACCAGTTTGGCTCAGTGGATAGAGCGTCGGCCCGAGGACTGAGGGGTCCCGGGTTCAATTCTGGTTGTGGGCACATCCCCGGTGGGGGGTGTGCAGGAGGCAGCTGATCGATGATTCTCTCTCATCGATGTTTCTAGCTCTTTGTCCCTCTTCCTCTCTGTAAAAAATCAATAAGATATATATAAAAAGACCCTCCAGATGTTTGGCAATGCCCTGAAGGCTGTTGCCATGGGCTGCAGTCAGTACCCATTTCCCCTCCTCAATCTGGGGAACTGTTTCTCCATTCCCGAGGGCAGAGCTCTGGCAGCCCATGACTCTCAGAGGAGGGTAGCTGGTCTTCAGGGAGGGCTGCATACCTGAGATCCTCACTGATGTTGCTGAAGAAGGGATGGTCGTGCTCCATCGGCAGTGGGGAGGTATCATAGGAGCGCCTCCAGATTTGTACCTGGGCCTCGGCCTGCTTGGCAGCAGTTTCTGCTTTGTTGAGGGCAGTCAGATCCCCATAGTGTTGCTCATTGAGATGCCAAGGCCTCACTACGGGCTTGTCCAGACGGTCCGAATTGCTGTCTTTTGCACAGAGGTAAAGCAGATGTCAAACTCATAGCCCGCATCTCACAGCGCCTGCTCACCTCTTAGCATCAGTGATGGGAGAGAATCATTGATTGGCTGCCTCCTGCACACACACACACACACTCACCCCCCCCCCCCCCCCCCCCCCAGGGATTGAGCCTGAAACCCCCAGCATGTGCCCTTGACCAGAATTGAACCCAGGATCTTTAGTCAGCAGGCCGATGCTCTATCCAGCTAGGGCCCAATATTTTCTTACTGATTTTCTAGAGCTGTCAATGGAGTATTGAGGTCTCCAGCTGTGATTGTGTTTTGATCCGTTTTTCCCTTTAGTTCTGTGAGTAGTAGTTTCGTATATTTTGGTGCTTCCTAGTTGGTGTATATATATTAAGTGTTAGTTTTTTTTGTTTGTTGTTTTTTTAATGCATTTTTATTGATTTCAGAGAGGAAAGGAGAGGGAGAGAGAAATACTAGAAACATCAGTGATGAGAGAGAATCATTGATTAGCTGCCTCCTGCATGTCTCACACTGAGGATCAAGCCTGCAACCCAGATATGTGTCCTGGCCAGGAATCGAATCCTGGTTCATAAGTCAATGCTCAACCACTGGCTCAACCACTGAGGCATACCGGCTGGGCAAGAAGTGCTATCATTTAAGTGTCCATCTTTGTCTCTTGTTATCTTTGTTATCTTGAAATCTACTTTGTCAGATATAAATATGGCTACACCTCCTTTTTTTATGCATGTTATTTTCTTGGAGAATCATTTCCACCCTTTTACTTTGAATCCACCCTTTTACCTTTGTCTTTATAGCTTAGCTATGTTTCTTGTATGCAACTTACTGTTGAGTTCTGTTTTTGATCCACTGTGGTACTCTTTGCCTCTTTATTGATGAATTCAGACCATTTACATTTAGGTTTATTATTGATGTGTGAGAATTTCCTGTAGCCATTTTATCTTGTTTTTTTCTAGTAGCTCTGTGCCTCCATTGGTTCTTTTCCTTTATGTTTCTGTCTGTTGTTTTTGTTTGGTGATATTCCATACTTCTTTCCTCTGTTTCTTCTTTTGTTAAGCTACATGACTGGTTTGGGGATTTTTGTGTACGGTTACCATTAGGTTTATAAAAAATGAAGTTGCACATATACTGTAGTTTTTTCCTTTTGAGTGTTTCTGATCTTCATCTTCCTTTGTCAGTTCACACCTTTCCCCCTGCCCCTTTTGTTTCTGTTGACACAAATGATCCCTGTTTATGCTGTAAGTTTTTTGGTGGTTGTGACCATAATGTTCTTTGTTTCAGGTAGAATAACTCCATTGAGTACTTCCTGCAATGGAGGTTTTCTGATGATAAAATTCCTCAACTTCTATGTCTAGGGATGTCTTTTTTCTTCTTCAATTTAAAGGATAATTTTACAAATTAGCAATACTATATGGAGATAAAAAACAATACTCAGAACACATGAACATATGGACAGATGCGAACAGAAGCCTCCTAGACTTTGTTTTAAAATTTTAGCCAGGAGTGCTGAGACCGGTTTGGCTCAATGGATAGAGCGTCGGCTTGGGGACTGAAGGGTCCCAGGTTCAATTCCGGTCAGGGGCATGTACCTTGGTTGCGGGCATATCCCCAGTAGGGGGTGTGCAAGAGGCAGCTGATCAATGACTCTCTCTCATCGATGTTTCTGTCTATCTCTCTCCCTTCCTCTCTGTACAAAATCAATAAAAAATATATATATTAAAATTTTAGCCAGGAGCCTTTAATGAGTTAAGTTTATTAACTGAGATAATCTGAAGATTTTTCTTATTAGAATTTGTGGAGAAGGCAGTCTTATAGAGGCTGTCAACTAGATTTGGGGCAAGGGTGCTTCTATAGCCATTTGTATTAAAAAACAAAATAAAATAAAACACTTCTTTTTCCTTGTTTTTTCTTCTGTCTTAGGAATTGAGAATGAAAAAAAATGGGTGGGCTTTGAACTGACTCTAGAGCTGCCTTTCTGGTTTTGCAGAAATTTGCAAGATAAGGATAATTGCTCTCAATTCCCAAAGAGCTGGGCTGTAACTTAAATGACATCATAGGTTAGCTACCCACCCAACTACATCATCCCCGAGTTGCTTTTTCCCTCTGGTTATGTAGTTTTATTTCTAATTGTAGTTAATAAATCCTTTCAAATGTCATGTTTCAGCTTAGATAAACAGTAATTATTTCTGACAGTATTAAAGTATTCCTTGGACTCAAGAGGGTGCAAAGGTTATTACCTTCCCAGGTCATTCCTATGATAGCCAAAAGAAAGAGCTGGCAGCCTGCATGTCACAGGGAGGCAGAAACCAAGCCCAGCTCTTAGGACATAGGTAACAGCTACCCTGGGGGAAAGGATCTGTGGCCATTTGGCCTGGATTTGAGAAAGAAGGAAGGGACGATGTGAAATGATCTCTCACTGTGCTCAGGCAATCTATTTACAAAAGCTTTTTTTTAAATTTATTTGGGTGACATTAGGTTAATAAAATTATATAGGTTACAAGTGTATAATTCTATAAAACATCATCTGTATATTGTGTGTTTGCCACCCTACAAGAACTTTTGGGGATCCTCCTTGTGTTTAGGAAATTCTCTAATGATGTTCCTCAGATTGGCCTTAGACCAAGGAGAGAAAGATATCCAAGGACAGCCACTTATAACGGGTACCATCAGACTTACAGACTTTTATTTTAGGTTCTTCTTATATCTTTAGTTTTTATTAGCCTATTAAAACAAAAATCTTTTACAGCAAAAGTGTTAATGAAGCTTTTTAAAAAGTTTTAAGCCTTCTGGTGGCTCTTGCATACAATGAAAAATATGTCTCTTATTCTGTGTGTGTGATTTGGAGGCCCTTGCTTTTAAGTGCACTTTTAAATGATCTAATCTAATTGAAGCATTCCTCATAATTGCTATTGTAATTTTAGGCTGTAATTTCTTGTAGGGTTAGCAGCAGTTTGGTTGGCTATAATGTTCTGAACGCCTTCAGCCCCACCTTTGACACTTCCTGACAAGTTTCACATTCCAGATGTTGTCGGGTTGATAGATGGTACCCATCTCATTAAATCTGTCTCAGTTGTTTTAGAGGGTATCGCAGTCTGTCACTGTAGGTGCAGTATACAAACCAATGCTGAGTCACCACTGCCGAAGCTTTATTGATTCTTAGTGGGTCTGGAGCAGTCTCATCTGTGTGAGTCTTAGTCACCGTCCTGTGAAATTCATTCACTCAACGAGGATTTCTGGAATAGTGTGCCAGGCCTGACACTAAGAGTGAATCAGCCTATAAATTATCCTACATAAGAATGGGGGGCCAACGGGGGAGCAGCCGGGTCAGGTGCGGCCAGGCCCGGAGCAGCGGCTGCCAGGCTGGGAGCGGCCAGGCCCGGAGCAGCAGCAGCCAAGTCCAGAGCAACTAGGTCGGGAGCAGCAGTGACCAGACCCGGAGCAGCTGGTTGTGGAACGAACCAGAGCAACAGAGGCCAGGCCCTGAGCAGCCAGGCCCGGAACAGCTCGCTCCTCACCTGCCCCTGCCCCACGGCTGCTTCTCAGACATGGCTGGAAACTTTCATGGGAACTTGAGGGTTCTGCTGAATCAAGTGATGAAGGCTTAGATCTGGATGTGTTAAGTTAGTATAGGGCTGGGGTGTTGATCTGTGAGTGCCTTGGGTGGGGCCTGGATGAGGCTGGTGGACCTGTTGGGAAATGTCTTTTGTGTGAAGTGTATCATTGGGCATGTCGAGGTATTATTGATTTGAGAAAATGCTAAGTAACTGATTTACTATCTGAAAAGGGATTTACTATTGGGGAAAGGGAGGGAAGAAGAGACTGAACATAAACTGCACCTATGGATGAGGACAATGGGGGATAGGGAGGGGTCGGAGGGTGGGGTGGGAACCTGGTGGAGGGGGGAAGAAAGGAGGAACCTTTGTAATAATATGAACAATAAAGATTGATTTAAAAAAAAAAAAAAAAAGAATGGGGGACCAAAACCAGTTTGGCTCAGTGGTAGAGCGTCGGTCTGCGGACTGAAAGGTCCCAGGTTCGATTCCGGTCAAGGGCATGTACATTGGTTGCGGGCACATCCTCAGTAGGGGGTGTGCAATAGGCAGCTGGTCGATGATTCTTTCTCATCGATGTTTCTAACTATGTATCCCTCTCCCTTCCTCTCTGTGAAAAATCAATAAAAAAATATTTTAAAAAAATGGGGGGACGCACGGACTAAATAATAAATAACATGATAGCATTGTGGGAAAACTGACTCAGGAAAGTGGACTGGGAGTGTGGGGCCGAGACAGTGCTTTCAGTGGTGAGGAAGCCTCGGGTAAAGTAACATTTGGCAGAGATGGGGTGAGTGGCTCATGCTGGGAGACCCCTGGGAGAGACATGCCAGGCCAGGGGATGTGAATTCAGAGAGGATGAGTCAGTGAGCAAGGGGAGAGTGCTGGTGGGTCAAGGGAGGCTTGGGATGAGAAGTGGAGGTGGTCAGACAGACCTGATTCCCTGTAGGCCCAGGGCTTGGGCTTCTCCCTGGATGGCGGGCACCATTCGAGTGTTTGCACAGGATTGTGAAATGATCTGACTGCGTTGAGACTGGGAAGCACGGACAGAGTGGGGAGGAGAGACCCATGATGAGGCTGCTGCACAGAGATGACTGGCCTGGACCAGAGCGGATAGTAGAAATGGTGAGGAGTGGTCAGATTCTGGCTGTATTTAGAAAGTAGATAGAAATGTAAATAATATGAAAGTCGCCCTAGTAACAGATGTCCTTAGGAAAGTCAAGAGGGCTGCTTAACCAAGCAGTAAGGAATGACTCTTAAGTTATCCAGGGGTGTTTCTTCCTTGTTTCAGTTTTTAAGCTTAAGGGTGAGAACCATACCTACACTTTCTCTGCATCCTCCTGGCACCTAGCACACAGTAGGTGCTTATTGAGGGTTCAAGTGGTTTTGCCTTCGTTCTTTTTTACATTGTGAAATATGGGGTGACGTTTGCCTTTGTTTTACATTGAATGTATATTTCTAAATGTTTTTTCTTTTGTAGGTGAGAGGCCATTTACGTGTGAAATCTGTGGCAAATCTTTCACAGCAAAGAGTTCTCTTCAGACCCACATCCGAATCCATCGGTAAAGTTACACAGATATGTCTCTTATGTGGAGTTCTCATTCAACCCCAGCGTTCAGTAGGATGACATTTGTTACATATATAGTTCATTTCCCCAAACTATTACTATGGTAGAATTTTCTGTCTTTTTTATAATTTTTAAAAATCTTTCCAATAAAGAATTCCTCACTTAGGCAAAATCAGGACAACTGATGCTGGCCTGCAAAAGTTTGCACTAGTTAATTTCATTTCTTGAATTTTTTATTTGGTCTGGAGGCTAGTCCAAAGCTTAAATTTTCAATCAAAATAAATATTAAGTTTAATGTTTCCTGAGTGAGTGTTTTTGTTCACAAGACTTACTTCTAAATTGGATTTAGTATATCTTCTAACAACTTCAAAACTAGGGGCTACTTATTTAATGTTGAAATTAATTGTATATACTTACTTGGCCATCAGAGTAAAAACAAAAATGGCTGTGAGAACTAAAACAAAAAGGAACTAAATATGTAATATAGAAATATTTACTTTCTTATCTAAAAGAAATACTATGGAATCATAAATTTTTATTACATCTAATCCAACCCCGTGCACCCCCATTCCTCAGACACCACTCCCACCATTTCTCATAAGGTTAGAAACCGAAGCCCATGGAAGTTGTGAGTTGCTCCAGGGCCTTACGTGAGTAGGAGAACCCGTGACTTGTGACTCCTTGTCTGGTTTCCTCTATTCTTAACGGCTTCTTCCTCAATAATCAGGAAGTAATACATAGATATTTCTGTTTTTAATGTAAAACATGTGTTTCCTTATAGAGGCGAGAAGCCGTACTCCTGTGGCATATGTGGCAAATCCTTCTCTGACTCCAGTGCCAAGAGGAGACACTGCATTCTACACACGGGCAAAAAGCCTTTCTCCTGCCCAGAGTGTAACTTACAGTTTGCTCGTTTAGACAACCTGAAGGCTCACTTGAAAATCCATAGCAAAGAGAAGCATGTAGCGGATGCCAGCAGCATTTCCAGCAATAATAATACCGAAGAGGTCAGGAATATTCTTCAGCTGCAGCCGTATCAACTCTCTACCTCCGGAGAGCAGGAAATACAGCTTCTTGTAACCGATTCTGTACATAACATCAACTTCATGCCCGGTCCGAGCCAAGGAATCAGCATCGTCACTGCAGAGAGTTCCCAGAGCATGACTGCAGACCAGGCTGCTAATCTCACACTGCTCACTCAGCAGCCAGAACAGTTACAGAATCTAATACTTTCAGCTCAGCAGGAGCAAACAGAACACATTCAGAACCTCAGTGTGATTGGGAGCCAGATGGAACCCTCGCAGAGCGAGCCGGTGCACGTGATCACACTCTCCAAGGAGACCTTGGAGCATCTGCACGCCCATCAAGAGCAAACAGGGGAGCTCCACTTAGCAAGCGCTGCACATCCGGCTCAGCACCTGCAGCTGGCACAGGAGTCTGCCCCGCTACCACCCAGCCCCCATGCGCCACAGCCCACATCACTGAGCCAGGAGCAGAGCTGACCTAGAAACATGTTTAACTGTTCTACTGCTTTCTGCTCCATATGTCAGCTGTTCCTGGATTGTGGGCTTAAGGTCAGGCTTCCTGAAATGCAAGCTTACAGACCATTACAGAACTGTGGTAGCCAGCTGATAGTTACAATGCTTTCTACCCAGGCAGCAAGATATGTGTATCATGTCTCATATATAGTACTGATAAAGATTTAGCATTTTACTATTGATGAGTGGTTTTCATTTCATCTACTACATCTCATTAAAGACTTGGGTAATTTTTCTTTGGGGTATCAATTTAGACTTTTCTGTAAGTGCTAAAAGTTCACAGCCATAAGTTGTAGTCTTGCTGACGTTTCCAGTTACATTTTTTATTTTTTAGGACAAAGATAAGTCATGTGCCGAATTAGGTAGAATGGCTGGTTCCACTTCCTTATTTCTCATAGGCAACACTATGGCCTGTACAAGACAAGTCGAACTCCCAGACCTGCAAAGATATTTGATCTTCAAGATGAAGTTAGAGCTTTCTTAATTGTCCTGGAATAATTTTATTCGACATAATTTGTGTTAAATATACTGAATTCTAATTGACCTCTGAAGATGTTGACCTGTGTAGTATGTCTGATCACTTTCTGGAGATAGGTACCTATAAGCTATTTTTATTGCAGAGTAGGTTAAATTCCATAAAATGGGCACATTATTTTTAAAAGTAAATATTTTCTTACCTTAAAATCTTTGAACCTCAGAGAATTAGCCAACATATATCTGTAACTATTGTATGACTTTAGATAATTGTCAGAAGATTAAATTATGCCTGGGTTAGATTTTTCCAACCTAGCATATTTTATTTTATTGAATTCTCTGACTGCTTTCTCTCAAGTAAGTTAGTAGAGAATTTTTAAGAAATGAAGTGGGTACTGATATATGTAAGTTAATGAGAGTAGGGGTGATTTACCCTAAAATTAACAGGATCATCATATCACCTGTTTTCTTATTTTAGACACTTTTGATTTCCACCTGAATCAAATTAAATTTGGAGGTTAAAATAATACAAAATTGTTCAGGTTTGAGAGGAAATGAAAGCATTTTTCTCTAACATATTTGCCAAAATATGTTTTATTATATATAATTGACAAAATTTCCAAAATGATTTATATGTATCAATCAAAGTATCTTAAAATTCAATGACAATATCCAAAGGAAATGTTAAGTCCTGACTAGAGCAAACGTATTTTTGCAAATATAGTTATGCCTTAAATATTATTTCAGGTTCTTACCGTAGTTATTTAAACTGTTTACTTAAACCTTATTCTTAAAATGCAAAGCCTTTCCCAGCTGTTCAAAGCCTACTGGCCCACATTTTCTCCAAGATATAAATAATATTCAAGTAAATGGATTTTTAACTACTCACTCTCAGTACCTGGGTAATTATTCAGGAAATATGGTGAAGTCATGCTTAACTAGCTATATGACAGTCTACCTCTACGCTATGAGAAATTTAATGTGAACCACATATGTAATTTTAAATTTCTAGTAGCCATAATTATAACAAAAAAGGGGGGAAATCAAGTTTAATAAAACAGTTTATTTAATCCAACATTTGCCAAATAGTATCATTTCAACATGTAATCAATATAAAAATGGATTAATAAGATTTTATATCCTCTCTTGTGTATTAAGTCTTCAAAATCTAGTGTGTATAGTATACTTACTGACACTCATTTTGTATGCTAATGTTCATTGGATGCTTGATCTGTATTTAGAATTCATGCATTTTACAGTTGAAACTATATATATTCAAGTAGTTATGTACAATTTTTTCAATAACTGAGTATCAGTTTTTTAAATATAGTAAAATTAATTAAAATTCAAACCTAGTTCCATGGTCATACTCACCACGTGTGGCTAATGGCTCTGTCTTGTACAGCACAGGCCAATCTGTTTCTAGCTGGAGAGCCAGTCTCAGCCATAAAATATCTTCAGGAAGAGTTCTGGGTTATTTGACCATCTGTGAAAGGGAAATGAGAAAATGATAGCTTTATATATCTAGCCTCGCCTCTAGGTCCCAAATATATATTCTGCCTTTTGAATGAAATTTTGAATTTTTTTTTAATCCTCACCTGAGGATATGTTTTTGTTTTTGTTACTGATTTTAGAGAGGGGAAGGGAATGAGAGAGAGAGAAACATTGATGTGTAAGAGAAACATCAACCAATTGTCTCCCATACGACACCCTAAGTGGAGACGGAACTTGCAGTTTTTTGGTGGAAGGGACCATGCTCCAGTCAACTGAGACTTCCAGCCAGGGTGAAGTCAGTGTTTTAAAGTTCAGTGACTGTATCCAATGGAAATATCATGTACATACATTGATATTGTATTCACGAGAAATTGTTGGCTCAGTGTTCCACAACTCATTTTTACTAAAACATGTGCAACTTTTTAAATTGACTTAACAAGTACAGAAATACAAATTGTACTTCTTAGGAAATATATATATAAACAAATATATAAGCATATTTATATATGAAACCTAAGCAATCATTCTGACCAAATGACAGGTCCAACCAGTCACTCTGACACGCACTGACCACCAGGGGGCATATGCTCCAGGCAGGAGCTGCCCCCTGGTGATTAGTGTGTTCCCACAGCCAACCTGCTATGGCCTGCCAACCTCCCCCTGGCCAGCAAACCTCCCAGGTCCCTCGCTCCATCCGGTATGCCCCATTCGGCAGCCAGCAGGCCCTGGCTGATCTGGCCCTGATAGACCCTGATTGCTGGCCAGGCCTAGGGACCCACCTGTGCACAAATCTGGTTTTCTCAGTAGTAGGCTATCCTTGGAAAGACTTGAGCTCTTACCATCAAGTTATTCTTGTGCTTGCCGGTGTTTTCTCCAAACACCTCCTCCTACCTCTCCTCTGTTTTTTCTGCAATTGGTTCTTGTAAGTTTTGTGAGCAACCAGTTGAATAATACTGAGGGATATGAGACTCATTCTAAATGCTTATGTCTAGATTTTCATAAATTGAAATGATAATTTCTGCCATATATGCAGATCAGAAGCAAAACCAGTTGCATTAAGTCTAATTCTGGTCTTAGTGCTTCTCAAATTTCTTCCATACCATGGTGCACAAAAAGTAGGCTTTGTACAGTACCTGCAGTTAGAGGACTCCAGTCACCCCTTGCCATGACTGGCATATTAGCTTGCTAGAGCAACCATAACAAATACTACAGACTGGGTGACTTTATTTTTTTTATTTTTTTAAAAATATATTTTATTGATTTTTTTACAGAGAGGAAGAGAGAGGGATAGAGAGTTAGAAACATCGATGAGAGAGAATCATCTGCCTCTTGCACACCCCCTACCGGGGATGTGCCCGCAACCAAGGTACATGCCCTTGACCAGAATCGAACCTGGGACCTTTCAGTCCACTGGCTAATGCTCTATCCACTGAGCCAAACCGGTTTTGGCAGACAGAGTGACTTTAAAAAGATAAAAAGTCCAAGATGAAGGTGTTGGCAGAATTGGCTTCTGAGGCCATCCATTCCTCGTTCTCCATACGGCCTTCTCTGCGTGTGTCTTTTTTTTTTTTTTTTTTTTTTTAATATATTTTACTGATTTACAGACAGGAAGAGAGAGGGATAGAGAGTTAGAAACATCGATGAGAGAGAAACATCAATCACCTGCCACTTGCACATCCCCTCCTGGGGATGTGCCCGCAACCAGGGTACATGCCCTTGCCTAGAATCAAACCGAGGACCTTTTAGTCCGCAGGCCAATGCTCTATCCATTGAGCCAAACCGGTTTCAGCTCTGCATGTGTGTCTTAATCTTATAAGGGTACCAGTCATGTTGAGTAAGGCCCACCCTAGGGACCACATTTTAACTAAGTTACTTTTTTAAAGGCCCTGTCTCCAAATAGTCACATTCTAAGGTCCTGGGGGTTAGGACATCATTGAATGTATGGGGGACACAATTCAGGCCATTACCACGGGCATTTGGGATGTGTTGGGAAGCAGTGTCCGGGACACACCTGGAGCCCATTAGAAGCACATCTTACTTTAATCTTCATGACATTCCTATGAGATAAGTGATATCATGACGGTTTTACAGACGAGAACACTGAAGCCCAAACAAGAAATCCAGTGCCCAAGGGCACATGATAAGTGGCAGAACCAGAACTGGGCTCAGGGCTGCGAGACCCCACTATGCTACTTCCACCCAATAGCAACTATGACCGGTCAGACTTCTGTAATATTCAGTTGGACCTCTCTTTACATACGATTTGCTTAACGTAATAGAATCGTTTTAACTAAAATGTAAGGTTTTTGTCTGAAATGTTGGCATATAATCAAACTTTTTACATGAAACAATAGTAAAAGTTAGTCTTTTTCCTACAAAGCACAATAACTACCATATTGATTTGTTAGTAGTTTACCATTGATTTAAAGCTTTATCAAAATTTATCAATTAGATGTACGTTACTACTAGAATGAAAATGCTTTACCTAACGAACCTCTGTAAGTGAGCCATTTTGTCAAACTTAGAAGGATATTTTACATTCAGGGTAGATTTTTACTTTTGCTGCCCTCATTTGTAAGTATTGAGGGAAATTTTCATTTGTTTCCAAATTAAGCCTAAATGTTTAAGAATTGAAAGAACACTGTCTCACCTCTGTAAATAGAGTTGCAGGAACAACCTTTTTTAAAAATAATATATCTTTTTATTGAGTTTTGACAGAGAAAGGGAGAGGGATAGAGAGCTAGAAACATCGATGAGAGAAAAACATCAGATGCCTCCTGCACACCCCCTACTGGGGATGTGCCTGCAACCAGAATCAAACCTGGGACCTTTCAGTCCACAGGTCAATGCTCTATCAACTGAGCCAAACCTGTTTCAGCAGGAACAACCTTTTTAACATTCTCCCTGGCCTGCCTTTTGTAAACAGCACATATCAAAGAATGACCTCCAAAAGAAGCTGCAATGTCATTGTGATAATTTTCTTGCTTTCATAGTCT